TCACAGCCATACGACACCCGGATGGCACGACGAAATCAAAGCCGACGGAGATAGCTGAGATTTTTGAGGATTACTATAAACAATTATATCACCACACTCCGACGGGGGGTACCCGTCCTGAACAAGAGGAGGAACATATCCTGCAGTATCTAGAACCTTTAGGTCTGAAGAAACTAAGCAGGGATATGGCGTACGGTCTAGCAGCAGAAATCACTGAAGAAGAAGTGGACAGGGCCATCTCAGGCCTGAAGGGCAACAAAGCGCCGGGACCAGATAGGTTCGATGGCACATATTACAAGACTTACAGGGAGGAGCTTACGCCGCGCTTGGTGAAGCTTTTTGCATACCTGAGGCAGGGTGGGAATTTAGATCCTGACATGACCATGGCTACGATCGTACTACTACCTAAACCCGGAAAGGACCCGCTCCAGCCCACGAATTACAGGCCTATTTCGCTCATTAACCATGACATGAAGATCCTAGCGAAAGTGCAGGCGGATAGATTGAATCCGTTGCTGGCCTCACTTATACACCCAGACCAAGTAGGTTTTATCCAAGGGAGGCAATTATTCAAAAATATTAGGAGGAATGTTGATCTGATATGGAAACAAGAGATCACCAGGACACCTACCCTGATAGTGTCTATCGATGCCGAAAAGGCCTTTGATAGGGTTCGGTGGCAATTTCTGTTCTCCGTTTTAAAGCATTTGGAATTTCCAGAGGAATACATAACGGTGATCAGGGCTATGTATCATGAGGTGAGGGCACAAGTGCTGATAACTGGAGCCCCACTGAAACCATTTCGTTTATTTAACGGGACCAGGCAGGGGTGCCCGCTTTCCCCTCTTCTCTTCGTCTTAGCACTGGAACCCTTGCTGCAAACAATACGCAAACATCCAAACATTAGAGGGGTCAGAGTTGGGAATAAAGAATTCGCCGTCTCGGCATATGCAGACGACGTCCTCCTGACCGTAACAGACCCGGTCGCTTCGATGTCGGCACTACAAGAGGTAATGACAGCATACGGAACAGTGTCCGGTTATAAAGCGAATATGCACAAATCCAGTGCTATGTCAGTGGGCCTATTGGAAACGGAGACGAAGGAAATACAGGAGACCTTCAATATACGTATGGAAAAGGTCTCCTTGACATACTTAGGTATTCACCTGACGGCAGACCCGGAACGTCTATACTCTGCAAACTATACTCCGATGCTCAGGGCTTTAATACGAGATCTAGAAAACTGGGTGGACAAACCCATCTCCTGGATAGGACGGATTAATTCGGTTAAGATGAATATCCTCCCACGCCTCTTATTCCTGTTTCAAGCACTACCCGTTCGACTTACGAAAGCACAATTGTCCCCACTACAAAAAGCGATAGAGGATTTCATATGGCAGAATAGGAGGCACAGAATATCAAGAAAGATCCTGTATAGACGCAAAGATAGAGGGGGGCTCGGCTTACCTAATCTATATTTCTATTATCTTGCAGCCCAAGTGACGCAGGTAGCCATGTGGCACTCCCCACCGGAAGAAAGAAGGTGGGTAGAGGTTGAGTCCATGCTGGTAGGATCGGATATACCCCAATTTACGATGTGGGTCCCTAAAGAACATCGGCCTATGATAAGAGTGACCTGCCCGGCTATACTCAACTCGCTACATATTTGGGACATGACTAATGCCAAATACGGGCTAGCGTCAACTCCCTCCCCTCTCACCCCTTTCCTTAGAAACAGAGAGTTTCCTCCCGGCATGGCTCCAAGAGATTTCCGAAATATCGAAAATACCGGCCTACAACGGATCCATCAGTTATACCGCAACGGAGAAATAGTCCAATTTGAGGAGATACAACAAGACCACCATTTAACACCGGCAGATTTTTTCAGATATGTCCAGATACGGGATTTTGCCCGAAGGCCACGTATTAGAGCCGCGGCACAGAGACAGCTGACTTTTTTCGAGAAATTGTGTTCGGAGGAAATGGCACCTAAAGGTATGATCACACTTCTGTATACACACCTTAGTATAGAAAACAAAGAGTGGGGGAGTTTGACGTATACTGAGCAATGGGAGGCGGACCTTGGAGAGGTCCTGGAAGGACTCGAATGGCAGGAGATATGGGAATCGAATAAAAATGCTTCCATATGTGTTACGCTCCAGGAACAGACATGGAAGACTATGTTCAGTATATACCACGCCAGTGAAATTGTACAAAATGCATAAACTAGATACGGACGTTGGCTGGAGAGGATGCGGATTCCGCGGAACGTACATCCATATGTGGTGGAAATGCTCGAAATTACACAGCTTCTGGAAAGCGGTGGAAGAACTGCTGGAACAAACCTTTGATAAACCCCTGAAGATGGACCCCTGGACATACTTGCTGAATAGAACAGTAGATGGGTGGACCAAGAGAGAACAGAGATTAGCTCATAAAATAACTCTAAGCGCGCGTAGAGAGATAGCGACTAAGTGGCTAAAACCGGAAGGTCCGTTTTTTTCCGGGGTGATCTCTAGGGTACGTGAATGCAGGATTATGGACGATTTGACTGCCAGGATAAAGGGTACGACTGTAACTTTCCAAAAACTTTGGGAGCCGTGGGACAATAGCCCAGTGGGCTCGAGTGGTGATTGACAGGGGACGGACCAGAGCATAGACTAGGTACACTTATCGATCTCCCTCCCTCCTCTTTGAGGACATTTTGACTGCACTACTGCCGGAATAGAGGTTCTTCCCCCCCCCCTCCCCTCTCCTCTCTCTTTTTTCTTTGCTTTCTCCTGACTTATTTTTCCCCCTCACTTTTCTTTTTCTACTGTACTTCTGTTTCCTGCTCCTTTTCCTGCTATCTATCTTTCTCTTCTTTCCTTTCTCTCTCTCTATCTCTTGATAATCAAGAGATTAGTATTTCTCTACGCTAGGCTTAATCAAGCTGTCAGAGGTGCTGGGATGCCCATGAACAGAAATGGCTATAACACGCAGGGCGGTAGACTGGGCCCCAATTATAGCCATTATATGCCTGTGAGACAGGTGAAAGCTCCCTTGATGGGGCAGCGACTGTAGGGGAACGCGGGTAGATCTCGCTTGGCCTACCTGATATATATATCTTAGCTTTTTACAATGTTTAAGTGGGCTTCTGCGTAAGCCTGAATGTTTGTATGCAATTGTTTCACCCGTTGAGTGGAAGCATAAAGTTTATCTTAAAATTCTCGATGGGTAGCAAGGCACAAACGGTTTCTACATGACTTGTCGATGCGTAATGGTTATACACTTCGTATGCCCAAGAAAGTTATACTTGCCATTGGCTTCTGCGTAAGCCTGTAAGTTGTCTTGTACTTGCTATAACCTATCATATGACACAAAAAAAAAAAACCCCAAAAAACCCTTAGTAGACGGCAGGCACCAATGGTTTTTAAGGAATGGGCATTGATTGTATTTGTTGAACTGCGTTATGCTTCTAAGAATTGTATACACATTGGCTTCTGCGTAAGCCCAAAAGTTGATGTACACTTGCTGTGTCTATTGAGTGAAAAAAAAAAGAATAAAAAAAAAAAAAAAAGGAAAGGTTGATAGCCATTCAGGGAAGCTGTCCTCATCTGAGGAAGTCGAGGTGAAAGCATCAGCCAGGATCATTTTAGGTGGTTCAGGCCTGGCTGCCTGGCGCAGAAAAGCCCCGATATCTTGGGATCATGGCCTCAGATTGGCCCACTGCTTTTTGGTTTTCTTCCCCATAGGCAACGGGATATTCAAAGCTGTAAGCCTGGCTCATGGGGCAGATAAGGGCGGATGGTAGCCGCAGTTTCCCGCTTGTTCGTGCAGAGCTTAAGCTTTGTGCGTCCGACTCGGAAGCTTGTTGGCTCCGCCTCCCTTCTGTTCAATATTAATTTCTAATTCACCCCATAAAAAGTTGGATAGCAATGTTGCTGTTGACATTTCTTTCCATAGACTGAGTATATTTCACTCCATCCAGGATACTGATTGCTAGAAGCATCCAGTTAATGAAAGTGATCCACCTCCTTGTAAGTCTTTCTATTTATCTAATGTAAGCAGTCATGCTTGAAAGAGAAATCTTTCTATAAAAGGATCCTCTTGTGTGCTCTGCAGCTTCAACATTGTGTAAAACAATGAGCATAAATGCTCATATTGCAGTGCACAGTTCCTTGTACAAGAACAGGTGGCTATTGGAGCTTGTGGTTGAGCCTCCTGTACTTTTCCGGCTATTTTACCCTTTGTCCCACTAACTTGTCTAAGAAAACAAAGTTGAAAACTGTTCCCGGAATTTAAAATAAAGTATTTTTTTTATTTTAGCATTTATAAAACATCTATAAAATTCAATCAGGTTAGGGATCACTTCCAGCCTAGTGTATTCCTTTAAATTCCAATTTGCCTTTTGCATTCAGAGGCTATAATTCCATGGAAGACAAATTAGATATTTGTTTCAAAGATGGTGATCTCTATCTTTCAGTACAGTAAAGTGTGGTTACATAATTTAGATTCTTAAATATAAGCACAGGTTTAAAGGGATACTGTAGTGCCAGGAATACAAAGCTGTATTCCTGGCACTAATACCGATCCCTCTGCCTCCCCCCTCCCTCCGGCCCCCTCTAACCCATAAATAAAGGGTTAAAACCCCTTTCTTTACTTACCTGATCCCAGAGCCGATGCCCCTCGGCGCTGGGTCAAAGCTCCGCCCCTCCTTCGTCCCCCGACGAGCGGGGTCTCAAGCGCATACGCAGCAATTGCTGCGCGCATTAGACCTCCCCATAGGAAAACATTGAATCAATGCTTTGCTATGGGGAAAAATCTGGAAGCGCCCCCAGTGGCTGCCTGGTAGACAGCCACTAATGGCAGACTTAGTGCTACAATGTAAATATTGCAGTTCTCTGGAACTGCAATGTTTTACATTGCAGCACCCAGAACACCTCAATGAGCTGAAGTGGTCTTGGTGCCTACAGTGTCCCTTTAATTTAAATTGGAAAATAAATCACTAGTTTTAGGATTAAGGGAAGACTCCAAGTACCATAACCACTACAAAACACTCCAGTGGTTATGGTTCCAGGAGTCCCCCCAGTGTAAGTTGTCAAACCATTTTAGAATGGTTTGGCGTCTTATCCGGGGTCTGTCTGGCACTACTTCCTTCTTTTACTAGAGCCTACAGAAAGCTGGAAGCACTCTCTCTGAGCTAAGCCAGTCAGTGCAGGGTTTAGCTCATTGGCTGAGAGTGATTAGCTGACACTCTCAGCCAATGAGCGAGTCTTGCACTGTAATGGTGGGGGTTCACTATAGCCCTAGAGGGCACTGTAGTGGTTATGGTGCTTAGAGTGTTCTTTACTTCTACTTCTCCTTTACTTATATTTTTTTATTTATATATATTTAGCATGTATGTAATAAAGAATGTTAAAGGTCCATTTTACTGGTCAGAACTTTTTTATTTGTGTATGTGAAAACCTACAGACTGGGTACATCTAGTGATTCTGTATATTACAGAGTAATACATTTCCAATATCTCTGGTTCTGCTACAGTTTGTGGACTTTTTTTGGGAAACTGCACTAATAGGTTACTCTATTACAGCGGATTTCATCCCGTGTTGTTTCACATGATGGTGCCATTAGCAGGGGCGTACCTAGAGCATTTGGCACCCGGGGCGGATCCTGTGCTTGGCACCCCCCCCCCAAAAAAAAAAAATGTAAAAAATTTAAAAAAATTTTTTTACAATTTGTAAACTTTGCAAAACTGCTGTCAGCCCCTCCTACAAAACCCTTGTCCTGTCCTGCCCCTCCTACAAAACCTCTGTCCTGTCCCTTCTACAAATCCTGTACTGCCTCGTCTACAAAACCCCCTGCTTATCCCCCCTTATAAAGACTCCTGTCCCAATACAAAACCCCCGCCCCCTTCTACAAAATCCCTGCAGCCCCACACACACATTTACAGGCAGACAGTCACACACTCAGTTACAGACAGACAGTCACACACTCAGTTACAGGCAGACAGTCACATACAGTCACAGGCAGACAGTCACACATACACATTTCCTCCGTGCGGCCAGTTTATCAGCTGTTTGCTTGTGTGAGCTGTACTGGCCGCACGGCACCCTAACTACCATGGGACACTGTGCGGCCACAGCTCACACAGCCCCCTCCAGCCAGGGCCGGTGCAAGGATTTTTGCCGCCCTAGGCAAAAGTAAAGTTTGCCGCCCCCCCCATGTGACATCACAATGCCCCACCCATATGATTTGCCATGTTAACTAACGCCAGTGCTGCAGTGCCGCCATGTTTACATTAAAAGGCCTGCAGGGACAGGCTATAGACACCAGAACCACTACATTAAGCTGAAGTGGTTCTGGGGACTATAGTGTTTTTAATGTGAGGTAAATTAGAGCTTAGTGCCACGAATAATATACTAGATTGCCTACTTACAACCAGATGAGGATGATGATGGGCTCTAGCTGCAGTCTGGCTCCCCTGGTCTGGTGCAGAACAGGCTCTCTGGAGGCGGTTTGTAACCGTGGTCACAAAAATCAATGTTCTGGGAGAACGGGAAGCAGCTCCATTTTTTGGGGGTCCTTTACACAGCTCAAGGTCTGGGTCCCAGGGTCCACCTTCATGTTCCACCAATGAGTTTGTTCACAGGGGGTGAAGTGTGTAGGGGATGTCCTGATATGTGTGTAAGGAATGCATTGTGTGAAATTGTGTTTGTATGTGTAAGGACTGCAAGGTGTGTTTCTGTGTATGTATGGGATGCATTGAATGTGCGTAAGGGGTGCATTGAGTGTGTGTAATGAATGCATTGTGTGTTTCTGTGTGTGTAAGGGATGCATTGTGTGTAACGGTTGCATTGCTTGTGTATGTGTGTCTGTGTGTGTAATGCATTGTGTGTTTTTCTGTGTGCAAGGGGTGCATTGTGTGTATGTGATGAATGTCAATCTCTCCTCCCGCTCCAATTTCCTTCTCCTCCTCCCAATTTCTCTTTCTCACCCCCCTCCTAATTTCTCTCCCCCTCCTAATATCTCTTCCCCCCTCCTAATTTCAATTTCTCTTCCCCCTCCTAATTTCTCTCTCACCCCCCTCTCCTTTCTCACCCCCCTCTCCTTTCTCTCCCCCCCTCCTTTCTCTTTCTCACCTCCTTTCTCACCCCCCCTTTCTCCTCTTTCTCACCCTCCCTCCTAATTTCCTCTCCTCACCCCCCCTCTCCTTTCTCCCCTCCCCCCCTCTCCTTTCTCTCCCCCCCACTCACCTTTCTGCTCTCTCCTTTTCTCTCCCTCCTTTCTCCCTCCTCCCTCTTTCTCCTCCCTCCCTCCTTTCTCACCCCTCCCTCCTTTTCTCTTTTCTCACCTCCTTTCTCCTCCTCCCTCCTTTCTCCTCCTCCTCCTTTCTCACCCTCCCTCCTTTCTCTCCCTCCCCTCCTTTCTCTCCCTCCCTCCTTTCTCCCCCTCTTTCCTCCCCCCCCTCCTTTCTCTCCCCCCCCCTCCTTTCTCTTTCCTCGCACCTCTGCTACTTTTCTCCTTTTTCACCCCCCTCTTTCTCCTTTTCACCCCCTACTCCTCTTTCCTTTACCTCCTCTTTCACCCCCTTTCTCCTCTTTTCACCCCCCCTCCTCTTTTTCACCCCCCTTTCTCCTCTTTCATCCCCCATTTCAAACCCCCTCTCCTTTCTCACCCCCCTCCCCACTACCGTTGCTGTAGCGTGGCCGAGCCCTGCAGCATTGACAGTCCGCGGGTACAGGGAGCATCTATCTCCTGTACCCGACCGGACTAACAGAAAATGCACACTCTGTGTTCACTTCCTGTTAGTCCGGCCGGGTACAGGAGACAGCTGCTCCCTGTACCCGTCGGACCATGCCATAGAGGGCTCGGCCACGCTACAGAGGGAGTGACAGGAGGGAGCTATCAGCGCTCCCTCCTGTCAGCCTCTCCTCAGGCTGCGCCCGGGCGGTGCGGTCGCCCTCATGGACGCACCGCCCGGGCAAAGCTGCAGCCGCCTGAGGCTCTTTACAGAGCGCTCGGGCGGCTGCAGCTTGGGGGGGGGGCGCCGCCCCTGGTCATGGCACCCCCCAATCTGCTGGCACCCGGGGCGGACCGCCCCCCCCCCTTAGTACGCCACTGGCCATTAGCCTACTTCCTGATACTAAGGATTGTGTATTCCTCTCTCCCATGCACTAACTATTTTGACTGAGTATTTCATTTGAATAATAATTAACATTATCTTGTCTTTTGCAAAATGTGTGTGCTGCTCTCTAAAGAGATTATGGTGCCAACAGACCCTGTTACTATACCTCTGTAATTAGTCAAACTTTTATGAACTGTTTGAAACTTACCTGGGACCTTGGTTGGCTGCTGTCCATCTGGTTTTGCAATATCGATTTTGCACATCTTTGGACCTCATTTGTCAGTTGAGATTGTCCTCTAACAGCAATTTTGCATTTAGTGAATATACTCTTATGTTTGCTTTAGGTTCCACAGCAGACATTTTCAGCCAGTCATTTCTTGCAGACACACACCCTTATACCTCTTTCTACTTTTGGGCCTTGTTTAAGTCTTAGACATTCATCTCCTTGGTATAGTTTCTCTGAGCACTTGTCCTTGGTTCTAGTCACTTTGAGCTAGGTTAATTATTTCCCTTGGGTGATTACCAATGGTATTTGCGCCCCAATTGATACTTAAGTAGCATCTATGTTACAATTTTTCCTCACCGAAATCTTCATGAGCTGGAACAAGGTGCTGAGCAGTGATTAAAGCCCTTTCTCCCCAGCAACTAGACGACACATAGTTCTGGGAGTCAATTGATTTTAATGAGACAAACTTGGCCTTTTATACACAGAACCCAGCAGGGGATCTCCATTGTATTCAGCACAAGCCCCTCCCAGGAATATTTGGGCCTGGGAGATAATTGCGTTAAAGACTGGTATGCTAATTATCTCCCAGGAACAGAGAGGCAAACACAAAAACATAATATCCCAAAACATCATAAAAACACACAATAACCCCACAAATAATACATACAAATAGCCCTGATCCAAGTTCTCCAAATAGCGCTCAGATCCATGCAGTGTAGGGGAAACTCTACCGTGTTAGAGTTCTGACCGGCCGCACATGTGGTCCTATGTCCAAAATAGTGCCAGGGAGTTTGGTACTTTTGCCAGTCAACTTCGGGAGCTCCTGCTGCCACAATACGGGGTGCTCCGCCTGGCTTTTAATAGTGTTTGTTTCCCTTAGTCTCAGGCACCTTCCCTTCAAAAAGTGCTCTCATGGCGGATTTCAAAGAGGTTCAAAACTGTGAACCACGTTGTCCGGAAACCTACAAAGTTCTCATGCCGAAATTAGTTCCATATTGGTCATGGCTAAGTAACGCTGAGGAATATTCGTGGCTTTGGTTCATGTGAATGGCCGCCAGAGAGCCAGCATTCGGTTCCATTCGCATGAAGGGAAAGTGCCGAACCAGGGGCACCCAGGGCAAGCTACTGATGGTGGCTGGGGAGGGTAACTCCCAAACGGTGTTCCAGACCCGTACCATAGTCGGTGGGCAGGAGTCCAGCTTCCACACTCTTCCAGGAGTCTGTGGTAAAAGTACATGAGAAGGAGCGTTTGTCACAATATGGTTATGTAGGATGGACATGCTCGGTGACTAACTACTGATTCCATTATTAGTTTGTAGTGTTAGATTTACTGATTGTGTGGGCTCAAGCATGGAAGCCTGAATATCTTCACCCTTTTCCACCAGATATATCCCAATTCCTGAGTCAACATGAAGCCACCCATTTTCCATTGATCCTGATCTATAACAGGTAAGCATCATGTACAATTCTGAGTTTTCTTCTGTTGCGAGTAATATTTCTTGACAATTTCACAATAGCCACTACTGCTGTTTACGTGATAAAAGGTCTCTTAGCAATATTTATACTGTATTTGTTTTTTGTGAAACGTTCCCTTTAAGGGGTCGTTACAGGGTTGATTTAAAAACCCTTACTTTATGCATCATTGAAGTATAAAATCAGTGTTTTTGAAGTTATAGTGCTTTATTGTCACTGAAAATCAAGATATACAAGATAAAGTGAGTGACTTGTTGAATAGAAAT